GCTTATGAAGACGTTTTGCAGGCTTTAAACCTCCACTTTGGGTTTGGAGAAAAATGCTGACTACAAGCCTGCATGGGTGAGTTTGACTTGAGGCCTAACTCTCATAAAACAAAGAGTCTTTCTGTGTGGATCGAGGGGAGTAACAGTATCCCTGAGCCATTTAAATCCACGGATGCATTTGTTTGAGTCAGTGGAGAAGCTCGAGTCTCCTCGCTCATCTCTAGATGCTCATTAAACGGTTCTGCTCTTCCAGTTCTGTGATTAGCGCTAGAATCTCCACATGTGTGATGCTTCCATAAATGCCCATCAGCTCGACAGCAGCAGCCAGAATTTGAGAGCTCAACATTTTTAAATGCACCTGTAGAGCACAATAATGGTGTGACTAATGAATTCAAGACAAGTGGACAGGGTACTATATTAATGAATCTAGGTTTAATGCTCCCATCACCAGACATGAGACATTTGAAATACTGCACAGGAAAACAGATCTGCCACATTGGTCATATATCAGACTGGATGATTTACGCTGATGATGCTGCTCCATAAACTGTCCCACACACATTGGGTTCAGGGGGTCACGGCATTTGAGAAGAAAAACCTCTATAAACTAAGCGCATGAAAAAAGAAGCAACACTTACCAGGGCACTTTGTCAGTTTCTCAAAGTTTGCGCGTTCCAGTCAGTAAGGCAGCACATTTGGTCTTGAGAGTCTCCACTGTGCGATGTTCACTGCGGATCTGGGACTCGCTAGACGCGGCTATAGCCTGAAATGAGCTGAGCCCACATCTCTTCGTCAGTCAAGCAGCATAGTTTCTGCTGGGCAAAAGTCCAACCAGACACGAAACCAGTCTATTTCTGTCTGCCATATGAGCGGCAGGGTTGTGCTTTTCAAGACATTCTGTGGTCAAACATGTAATTGTGGAGTGACCGGCTATGGTAAAGTGTAATTGTAGACTTCATCGGATCCAGCCCAGCTGCCAACGGTACATGGTTAAGAACTTTAAACTCCCTTAAAAACAACTGGAGTCACATAAATAAATGTGGGCCTGGAATCCAGATGTGGAATAGGGGAGGGACGAGAGAGGTAACAGACGCCGGGGAAAACAGTGAGGAGAGCCAGCAGGCAGAGCTGCCGCTGAGATGGGAAGGAAAACTTTTCGTTTTTTTGTTTTTTATGTGACAAGACGACTGTTTTTTTAAAAATCTCAGAAGAGGGGAGATTTTGGGAGGAGCTGTCTGGGCTCAGTTATTCCTAGACTTTTACCATTAAACTTTCAGGGTATCTGATTTCGCCTCAGCTACTCTGTGGAAAAATCAGCCATGAAAACAAAGGCCTATGAAAACAAAAGACAGCACATGAGGAACGCATAGTCCATTTCACTGGAACTCATCAGTTCGAAAGCACATTTAGATGTTCATGCAGGCCTTGATGCTGAAATATACAAAAAAAAAAGGGTAGAAATATGACCCTTTGCACTTTTATGGCTTACTGAAAAAGACGAGTGACTCTCTGGGTGTTTATAAAGAAGGAGATCCTTGCTCACACTGTTACGATTTATTTTCAACTTCAATGACTAAATGACAAACAGCTGTTCACTATTAAGAGTGCTGTCTTCAATGGCTTGCTAGGAAAATCACTGAGAATGTTACAAAACCCCGCAAAAAAGAGAAGAACAGAAAAAAAAACAATCCCTGATTTCAAGCCTGCCATGATCTTCCATGCAAACTTTCCATGTGGATACCGCAAGAGCCTCCGCAGCTGAGTTCATCCAAATGGATTGCATGGAGACCGTAAAAACAACTAGTGAAAAATAAATTTATTTGAAATAATGGCTATAATTTTGGGTTATATAATGTTCTCAAAGTACACCAACTTCCAGTAAATTGCCATTAACCACAAGCACACCAGAAGTACATATCGTTCCTCTTTGTTTTTCTTCTGCAACAGTATGTGTGCAGGAAAACCATTCCTTTTTTTACATTTTTATTTCAAATTAACAAACTGATTAAGTACCTCAATGCATAATTACAGACAGAGCTTGTAGTAACTGATTACATGTAATCTGGATTATGTAATCAGATTCCAAAAATTAAGTACTTGTAATTATATTAAATTAAATGTTAAAATACTCGTAATCAGTTACGTTTTTATTGATTACATGATTACATATTATTCACACAATAACAATAAATTATTCATAATTATTCGTAATTCAACGAATCCTTAATTCCTTCAAATGTTCCTTTCTAACATAGCCTACCGTTTATATACACTCAGAAAGCCTTCCAGTTTTGTAGACATTCATAAAAGACCAGTCATTAGTCAGGTGGCTACACAGTATTTAACTACTGAATTTACAGAATTAATTTCAGGTTTAAGAACTGTTTTAACATTGCATCATGGACACATTAATTGTTTATTTGTTTTAAAATTATCTATTTTTAATTTTACATTTTTATAATTGAATTAATTATTAGCTTTTCATTAAACTCATGTGTTTGGAAACTGCATGTTTAATGCATTTCATGTTGTTAATATTAGGGTTCCCCAACAACGTTATTACCTAACAATAAATTGAATTTTTTTTTTTCCTCTTTGTATTTTTTAAATCAATATGGTACAAGGTTATCCTGTTTAAATCAATGTGATAAACAAGTTAGGTCAAAAGTAATCAAAAAGTAGTTTTGTTATATTACCTAAAATATGTAATGTAATGGAGTACATTACTAACTACAATTTTTGTCCTGTAATTTGGAATCAGTAATGGACTACAATTGGTAAGTAATCTACCCAGCTCTGATTACAGATGCTGTATATGTTCTGCGGTTTAGGAATTACAAATTACTCTCTAGCAAAGTGTTTTAAGTTGAATTGATGTTTGTTATACGTTGATGTACTTTTCAAATCATCAGAAAAGTCATCAGAAATGTGAAGGATTATTTTTATCATTCTGATTTACTATAACACAACAAAAGAGACACTGGAAACATGGACAAATGACAAGAGTATTTTATTTATGCTTTTGAAAAACAGTTATTTCTAAAGAGGATATGTTAAAATATTAAACTTGTGCATCATCCTCCAGTGTTTGTGTTGCAGACATGAATGATCCTCAGCTCCTGTGTTTTCACTTGTTGGTGAAAAACAGTTGAAACCGGTGAAAAAATCCCAGACACAATTTGAAGAGAGAACCGTGCCATAGAGAGCAGTTGAAAGAAACCCCTGAAGTTAGGAACACCTTTAGTAATACTTCTATCACTAAGGGTTTCTTGGGTTTGTTTCAATTGGCTGCATAATATCAGCAACTTCATATCTGTTTTTAAATAACCATCAAAACCATTGGTTTTAAAGTCAAACGTATTTTTAAAATGAGACTCATTCTGCCATCTGTTGGACGATGATGGTACAACACTTTCTCAAGTTTGAATGAACTGGACAGGTCAGGAACGGTCTAAACTGAAAGGACTTGATGAATGATCAAGGGTAGCTATTTGATGGTTCAGCTAATGCATTTTAAAACCACAATGTCAGCAAAGCTGTAACAAGCTCTATTATAACAGGATTATATCAAGTCCAAGCCATTTTGGTGTTCACTCAATAGTTTTATATTGTTTTGTCATTTCCTGATGCTAATGGCCCTTATCTTCACCTGCTACAGGTTTATAACAGACCCTGCAGATGTGAAACGATACCATGCGATTCAATTAGAGACAGGATGCTGAATGAAGTCATGTTTGTGAGTCCTGTGGGGTTCTTTGTATGTGGGCAGTTCAGCAGGTCTCATCTGTTTGTTTAGAAATCTGAGTGAGAACAGAACAGATGCTCTCCCACACTAATGCCTTCACTCAGATGGATCCACAATACATTTAATCTTCTCAGAAGTTCGTAACAATCACAAAGTTAATATCTATAGTATTTCCCATTTAGTATCACAACCTACACAAGCAAGTAGGCACGTATACACAGCCGTCCTCAAGTCTTGATCAGGCTGGATTTATTCTGTCCTCACAGAGATGGAGAATAAACACTCAATATCTTTATGAATCTGATTTATTTTGTATAAAAATCTAGATTTCTTTGTAGTTTAGACACTGTCAATACATAAGGAATAATATAACACAGGTGCTTAAGTGCATTTTTTTAATTCCGCCTTGAGAGAGATCATTGCCGAGAATACCGCTATTGCAGCTTGGAAAGTGAGACGATTTCTGTAGCTGTAGTTGTTCTGTTCTCTCCGATTGAAAATGAATTGGCCCCGAGTTCACAGCTGAAACAGAAAAAAAAAATTATAATAATAAAAATAAAATAAAAACAATCAGGGACTCATGCCCACAAGACATACAGAAAAGACTCTCAAAAGCATTTTCATACCCCGCATGACTGGAGCCGCTCACATCCGCGAGTTTCTCCTCCGACGGCCGAATGCTTGGGAGCCCACGTTAGTCGGGACGAAGTTGCTGTTGCCCATCCCACCGGAACGGCTCAGGAAGTCCGCCAGACGGTGAGTGACACACGTGGCTGTGTTACACGCGCGCTTCTGTGGCGAAACGCTGCTTCAACACAGAGCGAGACCAGACTTCAGAAGACACTCTCTCTGTTAGACATTTACAGCAGTCATTAGATTACTTTCATGCATTATTCATAGATATATATCCTATAAAAAGAGTTTACGTATATATAGTGGTGATATTTATGCCATTATTATTTGCTCACATTCACAGATGTCATTTCAGACGTCTTACCTGCAGAAATCTTCATGTATTGAATGTTTATTTGTAGAGGCACTCAATGATAACATGCATATAAAATGAATTCGAATTAATGTAACTAATAATCTGACAAAGTAAGAGTTCCTGATATAAAAAATAACTTTATTGAACTTGAACACTTTAAAGAAATCATACTTTTTTTTTATTTGGTTATTATCAGTAGATATAATTTTTATAATACATGTATTCAGTTATTCAAGAGGCATGTGTAGAATGCACAGAAAACTATTCCTGAATTTGACTGTACAGAAGAAATTTTATCTAGATTTTTAACATGCCTTTCTCTGCCAAAAGAAAGAAAGAAAAAAAAGACCACTGCAACCAGCTGTTTGTGTGCGATCAGTCAAGCAGGCAGAATCCACATGCAACGGGACCGTAGAACACACAGTTAGGGTTAGATGGCGTTAAACGTTTCTTCGTAGCTTGTAAACTGATTGCCCTCGAGCAGGCTGCGTTTCTTGCCGGGCGTACCGGCGCCCACGTCCGTCTGCGGGAACGTTTGTAATTTGTGCAGCTCCTGGGAGAGTTTTCCCAGCACGCAGGTGCTGAGATTGGAGCAACGCTTGGACAGGAATCTGCCCTGGCTGTCGGGAAAAACACACATGCAGACAGGCGTATCATCACAGACATGCAGGGTCCCACCCAGACCACCGTTAGTGTTCATACAGAGCCCTTCACTGCATGCATCAGGTTAAGAGAGAGAACATGCTGTGCGTCTAACGAACAAAACTCTTGGGGTTAACATGCAGCCATTCCAGTGAACGGGAAGATTGACATGCTGCTGCTGTTAGGACATTCCCTCGGCAAGCAGACAGGGTTTTACTGCATTATACTGAAATAAAATAAGATACACCTCATTCGGGCAGAGAGACTTTGTCACAAATCTCAGTGGATTCCTCACTTTACTAACTCCGCTAGGAGTCACAGGCATTTGGATCTACTTTGATTGCCTCTTGCAGAATGAAAGCAGAAGTCGGTAGTTTAAAATACACACACTCTTTCCACTGAAAACCCTCCACTAAGAAAATCCTAAAATACAGCAGAACCTGTGAGAGAATGCTGAGGTTGTACCTGTTGTCATCATTCGTTGGCTCCAGTTCCTCTGCCGTCATCTGCACTACATTTTTGACTATAGCACTCAGTAATCTTCGTGCTTCGTAGTCCATGAGTGCAAATCTGTCTGTCAGAGACTCTGAACCAGGTCTGAAGATCAAACAATGACAGAGAAGAGCAACAGTTTGCCACCTGATGAGATACAGCTGAAGAACCCATCAGCTAATGTCACAGACAAAAAATGACAGAGAGTTTACCTTGCTGGGGCAGCGTTTGAGCTGGACATCTGGCACACGACTGCGGCATAAGCGACAAGGAAGGCAGAGATCTTCAACATAAACATGGTACCCTGAGACAAAAATACAGTGAAGCTTTTAAACGGATTTGGAAATTCACCGTCTGTCTGGTTTTACTCTCAAATTCTGTGAGGGTGGGCTGCACCACATACAAAACTCATTGCCTTCTACAAGAAGCTGTGAATATATGCCAACTAGGGTCCTCTCCTCATTCCTCATTCCTCATTCCTCACTCACTCCTTAAAACAGTTAGTAGAAGGAAAGATGTCCCTGTCCAAAACCACAAAGATTTCTATCTCACAAAACATACATTTTTAGAAGTCTTACCTCACCTTGTCTTGCTGCTTGATAAAAAATATTGATTCTCTGAACCTGATGACCACCTTGATACTACTGTGTGCAGCCTCAATGGTCAAGCCCCTATATATTCACTATGAGGAGTTGTGTAGTATCCATGTAGGTGTTTAATTATCTCCCATTGGCCAATCATCAGACAGACAGGCACCAGTCAGCCAATCATGGCTCTGGCGCACTGATAATGTCTAAAGATTTACTGACGTCATTCTTTAGCCATTAAGTGCTCCATTCAGTAAACTCACACTCTTCGGTATCTGCACTTGCATCTACATTTGGGTCATTAATTTTGCTTAAATTGAATAAATGCTCTGAATACCATGAGATCAATACTTTACTGTCATCCAAAGCTGTTGCATCACTGTGATCCAGTGGCCATGAAGGACTCGCTCATGCAGCCATCTGCTGGCAAGAGAGGAAGACTACTAGTTCACAGCGCAGCACCAGATCACAATTTCATTATGAATTATGACACTATGTTGTAGCTTTTACTTCAGATTTTTGTGTGAATCTTACAGGAGCTAAACTAATCAGTTAACAATTGTTTTCACTGTCATGTGATTTCTGACATGACAGGAGATGTCCTATGTGACAGGGACCATTAAAATCTGTTACATACATTTAGGTTACACTTTACAATAAGGTTCCTTTTGTTAACATTAGTTAACGACATTAGTCAATATTAACTATCAATGAAAAATACTTAAAATACTAAAGTGTTTATTCAACTTAGTGATTAATAAAGCGTTTACTAATTTTATTTGGTAATAACTTTAGTTATTTTAACTTTGTTAATTTATTGTAAAGTGTAACCTATGTATATTTAATCTGACATATTAAAGAAATACATCAAATAATGTGAATCTGAGCATCAATCTTTATGTATACATGTGGGTTTCTGAGGACAACTGGAAAAAGCATGTATACAAATATTAAATGCTGTAAAAACTGAATGGCAATGCTTTACAATAATCTAATTTGTAGGGATGGGCAGCCATCATTTCAGAAGTGAGGGGGACAGAAATGTTATATATATAAAAAAAATAATAATAATAACAATAATAATAATATATATATATATATATATATATA